CCAGTTCGTAAGTGGAAAGGCATTGTTCCAGTGCTGATAACGATGCTACCGAATTTTCCGAAACGGCAGAAAAATCGTCTGTTAGGGCCGATACCTTGATAGAGTAAGTTGGGGAGATTTGTAAACCCACGAAGTCCGGGTGGTGTCTTACCATATTTAGAAAGATTTCTAGCTGTATGACGAACAGTGAAGGGGCCAGGGGGCAACCCTGACGCAAGGATCTGGTGACCTTGAAAGGGGATGAAGGGTATCCATTAACCAAAACTCTACCAGTTGAGGCTCCATAGAGGGCCCTGACGAAGGTTCTGAAGTTCGGGCCTACTCCCACTCTCTCTAGGGTCGCCTGGACGAAATCCCAGTTGACCCTATTATAGGCCTTCTGAAAATCAATTAAGATAACTGTCTTGTTTAAGTTGTGTTGATTTATCCAGTCTATGGATTGGGTTATGGTCATGACGTTGTCCAGCACCTGGCGTCCAGGTATGAAACTGCTTTGATCTGGCAAAACCAACTTGTAAAGGAAGGGTTTTATTCGGAGTGCCAATGTTTTAGCCAAGATTTTGCCATGGACGTTGAGTAGGGAAATTGGTCTGTAGTTACGGACGTCCGTTTTATCCCCTTTTTTGTACAGCAAGGTAATTATAATCCCTTCAGCTGTGTTAGGTCCGAGTGGACTGTCGTGGAGGATTTGGTTAAAGACTCTAAGTATATCCGGTGCAAGTAGAGACCAAAAGCGCAGATAGAACTCTACTGGGAGACCATCCAGGCCTGGACACTTACCTTTGGACATACTGTTGAGGGCAGCGGTGATTTCAGAAAGGGTGATCGGGGATTCTAGTGATGATGTTTGCTGTTCGGAGAGGATTTTGGTAGTAGAACTCCAGAGAAAGTTCTCCAGGTGAGGGGGGACAATGGGAGAGTTGGGGGGTTTCTCAGAGGTTAGTAACTGTTGATAGAAAATCTTGACATATTCACACAGGGTGTTTGAATCCTTTGCTGGGGGTTGAGACGGATCTTCAGGATGGTTGAGACTAGTGATCATGTTATTGGTAGCGGGAGAAGGGGTGATGGACTAAGTCTTCGCATCTAATTTATCCGTGTGTAATATTTTGTCTATTAGCCTCTGTTTTTCCCACAAGTTGTGGTAGTGAATCTGCAAATTTTGCCATTCTTGCAACAAACGTGTTTTTTTCCTCTGTGTGACCATCTGAGAAAAGAAGCAGTCTGTTTCTTAACTCTCTCTCTCTCTCTGCTGCTCGGCACACCAAAGCGCGAATGTATCTGGTCCATTGTCGGTGCCAGATACATTTGCACCGTTTTTTTTTTGGACATGCTATTCCAATCCTCTCTATCTCTCTCTCTCTCTCTCTCGTTGCCGCCCACTCCTGCTCCGGCT